ATTTCCATAAAAGTAGGTCGAAAAAATTTATTAATTCCACTTTTTTTTGTGGTAATTGTTTCAAGGGAGGTAATTTGAAAATATATTTAACTCAACAATAATTTAAGTTAATCTTTTTTTTATTACCACCGCATTGATTAGTCTATGTTAAGGTTCATAATTAAAAGAGAAAAATGTTAAGATTATTTATATTATTTTCTAATTAGTCTATGATTTCTCAAAATCACTATTTTTTGTTTTTGTTTTTTGGTGCTAACAGATGGTGAAATTTTATAATTATAATATAGAGAATGGTGGAAAGACTCTCTCTGGGCGCGGACGCCTGGGAAAAGCGTGATTTTCGGTGGTAATTCTAATTACATTGCCAATGTGTTTTCTTAGAACCATAAAAGTAAACACCACTTGCCGTACATTCATTTGCATCGCATTGTTTTATTGTAAGTCATGGAGTAGGATCTATTTATGTGACTTAAATTTTTAATGTTGGAAAGGGTCTCTTTGGGCGCGGACGCCTAAAAAGCGTGTTGTTTGGTGGTGATTCTAATGTTGTGGTTGTGTTGTTTTTTTTTTTGGTTGTGTTGTGGTTGTGTTGTGGTTGTATTGTGGTTGTTTTTTGGTTGTGTTGTGGTTGTGTTGTGGCTGTGTTGTGGTTGTGTTTTTGTTGTGGTTGTGTTTTTGTTGTGGTTGTGTTGTAGTTGTGTTGTGTTGTGTTGTGTTTGTGTTGTGGTTGTGTTGTGGTTGTGTTGTGGTTGTGTTGTGGTTGTGTTGTGTTTGTGGTTGTGTTTTTTGTGTTTGTGTTGTTTTTGTTTGTTTTGTTCTGTTCCAAAGTTGGTACATTTAAAAAAGATTTACCGTGGCGGAGCACGGGATGCAGCTAGTCTATAATATAAGCGGGCTGAGCGTGTCCTTCCTTCCTTCCGTCCGTCATCGCTATAGATTTTGGGACTATAAAAGTAAACTACGCACCATGCTGTGCTTTTCAGTGCACCGCAGTGTCTTATTATAAGTAGTAGAGTAGGGTTTGTTTATATAGCCACATAGCGCTATTTTATAATTGCCACTGTGTTTACTCTTTTGCATAACTTAAAGAAAATATTAAATACACGAAAATGGGTAAAACATACTTAAAAAATCAATGTTAAATATCATTTTCGTTTATATTCTTAGAAAAAATGGATATATTTTCATGAAAGTAGGTCGAAAAAACTAATTAATTCAACTTTAGTTTGGTAATTTTTTTGCAAGGGAGGTAATTTAAAAATATATTTAACTCATCAATATCTAAGTTAATTTTTTTTTATTACTACCGCATTGATTATTACATGTTAAGGTTCATAATTAAAAGAGAAAAATGTTAAGATTATTTATATTATTTATTATTATTTTCTAATTAGTCTATGATTTCTCAAAAATCACTTTCTTTTTGCTTTTGTTTTTCGGTGTTATGAAAACAGATGGTAAAATTTGACTTTTTGAGAAGACTGGAAAGGCTCTCTCTGAGCGCGGACGTATGGGAAATTTTTTTTTTTAATATTTAACTCACTCTCAATAATTTAAGTTATTTTTTTATTACTTCCACATTGATTATTATATGTTAAGGTTCATAAGTAAAATAGAAAAATGTTAAGATTATTTATATTATTTTCTAATTAGTCTATGATCTCTCAAAATCACATTTTTTTGTTTTTGTTTTTCGGTGTTAACAGATAGTGAAATTTTAGGATTATAGTATAGAGAATGCTGAAAAGGCTCTCTACGGGCGCGGACGCCTGGGAAAAGCGTGTTTTTCGGTGGTGATTCTAATTACATTGCCAATGTGTTTTCTTAGAACCATAAAAGTAAACACCACTTGCCGTACATTTATTTGCATTGCATTGTTTTATTGTAAGTTATAGAGTAGAATCTATTTTTGTGACTTAAATAAAGGCTCTCTTTGGGCGCGGACGCCTAAAAAAGCGTGTTGTTTGGTGGTGATTCTAATGTTGTGGCTGTGGTTGTTTTGTGGTTGTTTTGTGGTTGTGTTGAGGTTGTTTTGTGGTTGTGTTGTGGTTGTGTTGTGGTTGTGTTGTGGTTGTGTTGTGGTTGTGTTGTGGTTGTGTTGTGGTTGTGTTGTGGTTGTGTTGTGGTTGTGGTTGTGTTGTGTTGTGGTTGTGTTGTGTTGTGGTTGTGTTGTGGTTGTGTTGTGGTTGTGTTGTGGTTGCGTTGTGGTTGTGTTGTTGTGTTGTGTTGTGGTTGTGTTTGTATTGTGGTTGTGTTGTGGTTGTGTTTTTGTTCGTTTTGTTCTGTTCCAAAGTTGTACATTTAAAAAGATTTACCGTGGCGGAGCACGGGATGCAGCTAGTCTATAATATAAGCGGGCTGTGTCTGTCCTTCCTTCCTTCCTTCCGTCCGTCATCGCTATAGATTTTGGGACTATAAAAGTAAACTACGCACCATGCTGTGCTTTTCAGTGCACCGCAGTGTCTTATTATAAGTATTAGAGTAGGGTTTGTTTATATAGCGGCATAGAGCTATTTTATAATTTCCACTGTTTGTACAATTTTGCATAACGTAAAGAGAATATTAAATACACGCACATTGCTAAAACATATTAAAAGGATCAATGTCAAATATAGTTTTCGTTAATATTCCTAGAAAAAGTGGATACATTTTAATAACATAATAACTGTAGGTTAGAAAAATCAAATGAATTTAACTCTTTTCTAATTTTGACAAAGGAGGTAATTTAAAAATACATTAAACTCACGCTAATAAAAAATGTGAAAGCAAATATACGTTCGTCATAGAAGGAAATAGTGTTGAAATAATATAATTAGCAAAATGTGAATGCAAATTATGTGGATGTGTAAGAGGAAATTATTGTTAGAAAATTATAATTAGCATGGATTGATAAAAGGCAATCTTTTATTTATTTTATTCACTGAATGTAGGCCCTTCTGTTTATTACTTATAATTTTTAATCAACTATTCAGCACTATTATAGACGCGTCATCACGTTCATTAGGTGCGCAATGGTTTTAGTTATGAAACTCTATTGTAAATTTTTAAAATTGAAAGTACTGGAAAAAAAATGCGTGAATGGATAAAGTGAAATATTGTAGGTAAAACACGGATATTTTAAATACTGCCTATTATTTATACTGATTTCTAATTATTATTCTATCTTTCGGGTTTTATAGGAGAGGCGTAGCGAGGGGGGGGGGGGGGCATATGTCCCCGAGTGCCGACCTTAGGGGGCGCCAAAGTGGGTTGGAAAAAATTTGCGAGGGGGGGGGGGGTGGTGGAAATCGAACGTTTTAGGGCGGGGGGGGAAAGGGGTGCAAAATCGAAAGTTTGAGGGGGGTACAAATCACCGGAAAGGGCGCGATTTGGCGCTACGGGCTAGACTATGAGCAATATGTCTTTATGATTGCATTTAAATTGTGTTTAAGTTATGAGTGTTGTGTTTGTTTTTTCGTTTTTTTTTGTTGTATTTTTTTGCGTTCGTTTGTGTTGTGTTTAGTTTTGTTCTGTTGGTACATTTAAAAAAGATTTACCGTGGCGGAGCACGGGATGCAGCTAGTCTATAATATAAGCGGGCTGAGCGTGTGTCAGTCCTTCCTTCCTTCTGTCATCGCTATAGATTTTGGAACCATAAGAGTAAACTACGCACCATGCAGTGCTTTTCAGTGCATCACAGAGTCTTAATATAAGTAATAGAGTAGGGTTTGTTTATATAACGGCATAGAGCTATTTTATAATTGCCACTGTTTTTACTTTTTTTGCATAACGTAAAGAAAATATTAAATACTAATTAATTCAACTTTTTTTGCGGTAATTTTTGCAAGGAAGGTAATTTGAAAATATATTTAACTCATCCATAATTTAAGTTAATCTTTTTTTTTTATTAATACCGCGTTGATTATTATATGTTAAGGTTCATAATTAAAAGAGAAAAATGTTAAGATTATTTATATTATTTATTATTATTTTCTAATTAGTCTATGATTTCTCAAAATCACATTTTTTTTGCTTTTGTTTTTCGGTGTTATAAAAACAGATGGTGAAATTAGACTTATTGAGAATAATGGAAAGGCTCTCTCTATGCGCAGACGCCGGGGAAAACGTGTTTTTAGTATTAAACTCACTCTCAATAATTTAAATTAATTTTGTTTTATTACTACCACATTGTTTATTGTATGTTAAGTTTCATAAGTAAAATAGAAAATGTTAAGATTATTTATATTATTTTCTAATTAGTCTATGATCTCTAAATTTTGTTTTGTTTTTGTGGTTGTGTTGTGGTTGTGTTGTGGTTGTGATTGTGTTGTGGTTGTGTTGTAGTTGTGTTGTGGTTGTGATTGTGATTGTGTTGTGGTTGTGTTGTGTTGTGTTGTGGTTGTGTTGTGATTGTGTTTTGTTTGTGTTTGTGTTTGTGTTGTGTTTTTGTTTGTTTTGTTCTGTTCCAAAGTTGGTACATTTAAAAAAGATTTACCGTGGCGGAGCACGGGATGCAGCTAGTATTATATAGTCAGGTTTTAACTTTAACATTATAAAATTCAAAATTTTAAAGAAATTTGTAAAACATAGTATACGTGACAGAAACCAAGAAGTTAACAACAAGATGCCGAAACTTTAATGTTTATATTTAAAAACACAAAATCAAGAAATCTAAGATAATTCTCTTTGTCGTGTGTCTCCTAAATATAGTGTCCAGTTTTTGTCGTGTGTCTCCTTGTTTTAGTGTCAGTTTTTGTCGTGTGTCTCCTTGTTATAGTGTCAATTTTTGTCATGTGTCTCCTTGTTATAGTGTCAATTTTTGTCGTGTCTCCTTGTTTTAGTGTCAGTTTTTGTCGTGTGTCTCCTTGTTATAGTGTCAATTTTTGTCTTCTGTCTCCTTGTTATAGTGTCAATTTTTGTCGTGTGTCTCCTTGTTATAGTGTCCAGTTTTTGTCGTGTGTCTCCATGTTATAGTGTCAATTTTTGTGGTGTCTCCTTGTTATAGTGTCAATTTTTGTCGTGTGTCTCCTTGTCATAGTGTCAATTTTTGTCGTGTGTCTTCTTATTATAGTGTCAATTTTTGTCGTGTGTCTCCTTGTTATAGTGTCAATTTTTGTCGTGTGTTCTTATTATAGTGTCATTTTTTTCTCTCTCTCGCCCATTTCTTTAATTTGGTGTTTTTATCAAAATAGGTGAGATTTTTAGCTGACTCATGTCTGTAATACCTGGTATAATCATTTGCTTTTGCTAGTGTTGGTGTTTCGTAACTAGTGAGTACTTGTTTACAGAAATTCAAGGGTCTTTTTTATTGTAGGTTAAAATTGTTCTACGCTATGTGTGATCAACAGCCATGGGGCTTTTTAATTGAGTGTTTATAGTTGACATGTTTATAGCTAGTGAAAAATGTGAGTGGTTTATGATAAGTGTACGTGTTTTAGGCATTGACATTTTTAAACTGGCGGAAGTGATGTTTGTAGTTCTCTGTCATGCGATTCAATTCAATACATTGTATACGCTTTCAAGCACGCTAAACTATTTTACAACACAATATGTTCCTATGGTTGCTGAACTTCAAGAGATCTCTGCCCCCATTTACTTTTATCACCAACGTCTCCTGTCTCCTCTTCTGTTTTCACTTCATCCTGTTCATTATACCCCTCGAGTGCCGCCACTTCATCTATTACTTTCTCCCAATCGTCAGCCCCCACTTCATCTTCCGAGCGCACTTCAAAATGTGAGGGAATGCCATCAAGAGAATCCACAATCTCTGCCTGTTTTATCGGAACCTCCGTGGTCTTTGTGCCAGTCTTCCTTGCCACAAATAAGAGAGCAGCGAGGTGTACTAGACAATAGATCGTGAGAATCGTCGGCAAAAGAAACGCAAAGACAGACCCTTCGGATGTAGCTTCTGTTTCCAATGATAAGGTTGTTATGGAACTGTCGTTTGGGGTGGTGACTGATAAATTGAGGCCGTCTTGTGACATCATTTGTGTTGACACTAAAATGTAAATAAATCTTGAATAGATTTTAAAAATAGAATACATGTTTAATTTTTTTTTTAACGAGACGGGTCTCTAGTTAGCGTTTTTTGAATATTCGCCCAAAGCTCTATTGAAACCTTTGTGTTTGATTTAAATTTGTCGAACCGTCTGACTATTTACTTAATTTATCGAAATTTTACTAATTTAAATTTTTAAAATACTAACGTATGGGAACCTATAACCTTTAAATAAATCTCTTCTATTTAACTAAAACGATACTTCATTTATCGTATTCAAACTCGAATGTTCGTTACATTAATAGACAGACATTCAAAAAAATATTTCAAAAGTGATTTTTCCGGTCTCTTGAAGCTTAGCCACTTATATATAACGAAGTTGTAAATACTTTCATATGACAGCAGATCTTTTTCCTTATTTACATTAAGCATTTTATTTGGTTTAATTTTATATTTGTTTGTTTTAGTAGCCGAAAATTAAAAAAAAGAAAATAATGAACCAGAAAGAAATAACAATTCAAGTTATTACACACTTGAGTTACGAGTATCTCCTTTTGGAGCTATAGATCACAATATCCATTCACATACCATAGTTCAAAATTTAAAAAATACATAAATATAACATATATAAATAATATCATCCTAAGCTGTATATCACAAGAAAAATTAGCTATGTGTTTATACATTAAACCAGGGGTCTCCAAACTACGGCCCGCGGGCCGGATGCGGCCCGCGAAGTCCTTTCATCCGGCCCGCGGAGATCTTTTTGTCCAAGGAAAAATCGTTTGTTGGTGATGGCTGAGGAACTTTGTCCAGAAAAATAAAAGACATGCCTAGAAGAAACTGGCCCCGAACTGAAATTTGATAGTTAAAGCGGCCCTCGGACTGAAAAGTTTGGAGACCCCTGCATTAAACAGTGCGACCAATTTATCGGAATATTTCTACAAGAAATAAGACTGTGTTACATTATCAGCAAATGCATTGGAATAATTGGTAATTTGGATGAAAAGGAATGTCTATGAAAGTTCTGACGTGTATTTGCTAGAATTCTTGTTATTAAACATATTAGCACGATTGTACTGTATGGTACCATACTCACAAGCTACCAACTAACATACATCCACACCAGCAACATGACAACCACACCAGCGACATGACAACAGCACCAGCGACATGACACCCACACAAGCGACATGACATCCACACCAGCAACATGACATCTACACTAGCGACATGACATCAGCACCAGCAACATGACATCAGCACCAGCGACATGACATCCACACCAGTGACATGACATCCACACCAGTGACATGACATCAGCACCAGCAACATGACATCTACACTAGCGACATGATATCCACACCAGCAACATGACAACCACACCAGCAACATGACAACCACACCAGCGACATGACATCTACACCAGTGACCAACCAACATGACATCCACACCAGCAACATGACATCCACACCAGTAACATGACATCGACACCAGCGACATGACATCTACACCAGTGACCAACAACATGACATCCACACCAGCGACATGACATCCACACCAGTGACATTACATCCACACCAGCGACATGACATCCACACCAGCAACATGACATCCACACCAGCGACATGACATCCACACCAGCGACATGACATCCACACCAGCGACATGACATCTACACCAGCGACATGACATCTACACCAGTGACCAACCAACATGACATCCACACCAGCAACATGACATCCACACCAGCGACATGACATCCACACCAGCGACATGACAACCACACCAGTAACATGACATCCACACCAGCGACATGACATCTACACCAGTGACCAACCAACATGACATCCACACCAGCGACATGACATCCACACCAGCAACATGACATCCACACCAGCGACATGACAACCACACCAGCGACATGACATCTACACCAGCGACATGACATCTACACCAGTGACCAACCAACATGACATCCACACCAGCAACATGACATCCACACCAGCGACATGACATCCACACCAGCAACAAGACATCCACACCAGCGACATGACATCTACACCAGCGACATGACATCTACACAAGTGACCAACCAACATGACATCCACACCAGCGACATGACATCCACACCAGCAACATGACATCCACACCAGCGACATGACATCCACACCAGCGACATGACATCCACACCAGTCACATGACATCCACACCAGCAACATGACATCCACACCAGTGACATGACATCCACACCAGCGACATGACATCCACACCAGCAACATGACATCAGCACCAGTGACATGAAATCCACACCAGCGACATGACATTCACACCAGCGACATGACATCCACACCAGCGACATGACATCAGCACCAGCGACATGACACCTACACAAGCGACATGACATCTACACCAGTGACCAACCAACATGACATCCACACCAGCGGCCAACCAACATGACAACCACACCATCAACCTAACAATATGACATCTATACCAGCGACATGATATCTAAACCAGCCATCGACCAAAATACCAACCACACCTTTGACCAACGAAAATGACATCCATACCATCATTCAACCAACATTCACACCATCAACCAACCACCATGACATACACACCATTCAACCAACCACAAATACATCCACACCTTCAACCAACCACAAATACATCCACACCATCAACCAACCACAAATACATCCACACCATCAACCAACCACTAATACATTCACACCATCAACCAACCACCATGACATACACACCATTCAACCAACCACAAATACATCCACACCTTCAACCAACCACAAACACATCCACTCCAGCGACCAACCACAAATACATCCACACCATCAACAAACCACAAATACATCCACACCATCAACCAACCACCATGACATCAACCTACCACCAATACATCCACACCATCAACCAACAACTAATACATCTACACCATCAACCAACCACAAATACATCCACACCATCAACCAACCACAAATACATCCACACCGACAACCAACCACAAATACATCCACACCATCAACCAACCCCCAATACATCCACACCATCAACCAACCATTAATATATCCACACCATCAACCAACCACCATGACATACACGCCATCAACCAACCACAAATACATCCACACCATCAACCAACCACCATGACATCCACACCATCAACCAACCACCATGACATACACACCATCAACCAACCACCGATACATCCACACCATCAACCAACCACAAATACATCCAGACCATCAACCTACCACCATAACATAAACACCATCAACCTACCACCGATACATCCACACCGACAACCAACCACAAATACATCCACACCATCAACCAACCACAAATACATCCACACCATCAACCTACCACCATAACATAAACATCATTAACCAACCACCATGACATACACACCGTCGACCAACCACCATGACATCCACACCATTCAACCAAACACAAATACATCTGCACCGTCAACCAACCACAAATCCATTCACACCATCAACTAACCACAAATACACCCACACCGTTAACCAAACAAAAATACATCCACAATTGACAAAACCAACATGACATCAATACCAGCATTAAATTAACGACATCCACACCAGTTCCCATCCATCAACCAACCACCGATACATCCACACCGACCACCAACCACAAATACAACCACACCATCAACCAACCACCAATACATCCACACCATCAACCAACCACCATGACATACACACCATCAACCAACCACCATGACATCAACAAACCACCAACACATCCACACCATCAACCAACCACCGATACATCCACACCATCAACCAACCACCATGACATACACACCATCAACCAACCACCATGACATACACACCATCAACCAACCACCGATACATCCACACCGACAACCAACCACAATTACATCCATACCATCAACCAACCACCACGACATAAACATCATCAACCAAACACCATGACATACACACCATCAACCAACCACCGATACATCCACACCGACAACCAACCACAAATACATCCACACCATCAACCAACCACCATGACATCAACCAACCCCCAATACATTCACACCGTCAACCAACCACAATTACATCCCCACCATCAACCAACCTGTCGTGGTTGTGGAACGGGGTGCCCACATATCCGTGTAGATCTCCACCTCACAGATACTCAACGTCCCTTGTATCGCCTCCAGCTGGATATTTGTGACCTCCTGGACCACACCGATACATCCACACCATCAACCAACCACAAATACATCCACACCATCAACCAACCACAAATACATCCACACCATCAACCAACCACAAATACATCCACACCATCAACCAACCACAAATACATCCACACCATCAACCAACCACAAATACATCCACACCGACAATCAACCACAAATACATCAACACCATCAACCAACCCCCAATACATCCACACCATCAACCAACCACCAATACATCCACACCATCAACCAACCACCGATACATCCACACCATCAACCAACCACAAATACATCCACACCATCAACCTACCACCATAACATAAACATCATTAACCAACCACCATGACATACACACCATCAACCTACCACCGATACATCCACACCGACAACCAACCACAAATACATCCACACCATCAACCAACCACCACGACATAAACATCATCAACCAACCACCAACACATCCACACCATCAACCAACCATCGATACATCCACACCATCAACCAACCACCATGACATCAACCAACCACCAACACATCCACGCCAGCAACCAACCATCGATACATCCACACCATCAACCAACCGCCATGACATCAACCAACCCCCAAAACATTCACACCGTCAACCAACCACAAATACATCCCCACCATCAACCAACCTGTCGTGGTTGTGGAACGGGGTGCCCACATATCAGTGTAGATCTCCACCTCACAGATACTCAGCGTCCCTTGTATCGCCTCCAGCTGGATATTAGTCACCTCCTGGACCACATCTATGGTTATAAACACTTCCTCGTCGCTCTCTTTCACTATTTTCTTCTGCGTCGCTTTTACTTTATCCAGTAAAGTTACCTGCAGTAACCACTGTTTTCTGTTATCTGAATACAAAATGTATTACGTGTATAAAAGATGACTGCTAGGAGGGAGTTTTCTAAGGCGGGACTATATTTCTTTGGCGTGAAACATGCAGATAGCTAATGTAAAGAAATGATCAATCAGGTGGTAGTAAGATTTAGGTGAGTAGAGGGCTGCAGTAAGAAGTTATCAAGATGTTGTTGTGTGTTTCATTAGACGAATAAACAGTAAGATACAGTTCAAAATAAAGCACTAATATCAAGGATAGCAATTTTAATATGCAGATAGGTAGATATTAGATACTATCTGGCATCATTCCGACGGTGGGGTAAGTGGACCGACCCCCCCCCCCCCCCTCCGAAACAAAATAATATTTATATAGAAAATTTTTGCTTATACAAGTGCCTTCTCCCCTAGCCCTACCACACCTAACGGCACGAAACACGGCTTCATCAACACACGTCTACCATTCAACTGCTTGAAATTTCTAGGACTCTTCCCGACCCAGAAGTAACCAAAACCTAACACGACCTTGCCTATCAATCAATATGCGTGGAGTCTGACCTATTTATGCATTACGAGCAGAGGCGTAGCGAGGGGGGGGTGCGCACCGCACCGGGTGACACCATTTAGGGGGGTGACACCAAGGCAAAAAAGCAAAATATGTAGAGAAAAATGATAATTCCACTTAATTAAGTGATTGATTCGAGTGTTAAATAGTCTTTTAAGAGGTACTAATCGGAAGTTTGAGATGGGGGGGGTACAAATCGAAAATTGAAAGCTTGCCCCCGGGAAGGGTCGCTACGCCTCTGGGGGCTGACAGCATTAAGTGCCGCACCGGGTGACACCCGACCTCGCTACGCCACTGACTACGAATTCGAACTCATACGATAGATGCGACTATTATAAACTTGAACACTAATTTCTTAGCTATTCTAAAATGTACTTAATTCGAGAACGTACAAGCAAACACAAAAAAGGCCATTTATGTTTAACACTAGAATACGTTTCTAACCTAAAAATATAACTATGGGTATAAATGCATCTAAAGACTATATACACAATTATAACCGGTCACTGTCATATTTATAGGATACCCCATTTCAGATCCTGGGGAACGGGGTCGGCTCACTTGCATTCACCCCTCTCTGGTAACCCGGCAACCGTAGCCCTTCACCCTTAGCCTGCACAGTTAACTGTGACATTAATTTCTTCCTACAGTTCAGGTAGGTAAGAACCCATTGAAATCAATCAGTTATAACATCAAACAAAGCTGTATGACTTTAGACAGCTTTAGAACAACGGACCGATGTTACATATAAAGTAGTTCATGGCACGGTTTGATATTAAAGCTAGTGATGAAAATCAGTAGTACTGTTACTATATTTAATATTAATAACACAAAGTGATTCGGCTATCGTATTTCTTCTTCTTCGCTCTTAAGTTTAGTGTTGAAAGGGATCCCCTCCAACACAATTAAGTACACGTGTCAACTGGTTATGCACGCTAATTGGTTACGCATAATGTTAATATTCTACTAACCATAGGAGTAAACGGTTAATCTCCTTATCGTAACCCTTAATGCTAGCTCGACCTCGACCTTCTTGTTATCTTCCAAGGTCAAGCACGTAGCATACCGATCGCCGTCCTTTAGACAGTCCAGCTGTTGTTTGTCGAATTCTTTACTTGTGAACAACATGTGTTCCTGTGACGCTAGGTTAACACCTGAAATACAACAAATCAATCGTCATTGAGCTTCTTCTTCTTCGTTCTTAAATAAAACAAATTAATCGTTATTGATCTTCTTCTTTGTTCTTACATAAAACACGCTAATCGTCATCGACAGTCTTTTTCCTCTTCGTTCTTAAACCAAATTCATTTCATTGATATTCTTTTAATACTTCGTTCTTAAAAAAAATTAATTAATAGTCATTCATCTTCTTCTTCTTCGCTCTTAAACAAATTAATTGTCATTTGACAGTCTTCTTCTTCTTCGTTCTTAAGTCTCAAATAAAAGAAATCTTCCGTCATTTACCATCTCTTTCTTCTTACTTCTTAAAATAAACCGGGAGTAATCTCCCATAAAGTTTCTCGAATTTTCTTATATAACACTATAAGGTATGGCATCTAGGGATATAGACAATATTTTAAATCCTTTTTTAAAAACTTTTAAAAATAGATTAGAATCTCGTAGAAAAAAGAAGTGTGCACCAACTGAAGGCCAAACAAAATGTGTGCGGAATATTAATAGTACCTTATAAATTCACAATCGTTTTTGAGAAAACTGAAATAGCGTAAATTACTAGTTCCGTTCTACTGAAACTACTTAAAATTTGTCAGAAGGCAGAGAATTAGATCTTTTACTTACATGTGAAATTTCATGTATCTATCTGAAATAGTACTCATGTTATAGGCTTTTGAAAAATTCAAAGTAGAAAAAGTTCTACTTCCGGTTATCGGAAATCTCTGAAACGTTGATACAGATCTAGAAATTTGATAAAATACGTATATATAAAATTTCATCAACCTAGCTGTCTCGCGTTTGAGAAACAACTGTGGTTGATCACCCTATAATTTTGGATGCCGATGTCGTTGAAACAGGTGGATTCTACTTCACCTGTCCCACGAACTGCCAGGTTCGAATAGATTTAAAAAAAAATGTTTTTTCTTGTTTAACAAAAAAAAAATATTGCAACAGAACTCAAAGATCTGTCATTCTGTCATGACCTACCCCCATCAATATTCACTGTACAAACGCTGACACTATTCAGATAGATTCTTATGACCCGCGTCCAATGAACCTCGTCCAACCAAATGACCACAGTATGCTCCTTGCTCTCCTGAACCTCAGTGACGTAGTTGACCTTAACCATCTGTCTGGTCGCGGCATTCTCCACATACACGGCCTGTACCAAGGAGTCCGGATCCAAAGCTTCAAACACACAAACAAATTAGCGTTTTAAATACAAGATAAGAACATTCAACATAGCCTTTTAGCTAAATATAAAATGAATTAAGCACTTTAGCCACATAAAGGTATATATCTTAGCACTTTTAAAAAAGTAATATGATTTATCAATGAAAGTTTATATGTTTGACGTGGTCTCTGTATGACGTTAGAGCATGTAATCTCGACAGAGTAACGAATGCACAATCCCTTCAAATGCCGAGGATAGAGAATAAAGTATATTTCATAAAATTCCTAAAAGCAGGATTTTTTTTTTACATTTTTCTTACTTGAACTACACACAATTAAATTCCCTTATGAATATTAAAACACTAACACTGTTAGTGGTTATTAATCTTAATCTTTTTTAGAGATATCGAACCCCACTAGTTTTATGTGCGCATTCATTGAACCCTTCTTAATAGTTCGATCGTCCGCACTGACAAAATCCGATATTGAATCATATGAGTCGGGTGTGTGTCTTGACCTCCGCCTAACCCTTGAGGCTGACTCACCGAACCCTGAGGTTCATTCGAAACCAGGTTTTAAGAACAACTAGCGGTTCCATTTTTATAAATCTTATTGTAAACAAATACTAAAAGATATGGGTTTACATTTAATACAAAACACAATATCGGGAAAAAAAATCAATACAAGTATCACAAGTATAAAAAATTCACAATACTCAGAATGGAAAGAAATAATTTATACCAATAAAACAAACAGGTAAAATAAGTAACAATATTTAAGATATATAAAACCACATCAAAAAAGGCATTCAAAAGTATCAATACAATTCATTAAAATCCAAAAACGCCAAATAACCCACTACTCCTTACCATTTTGTAGGACTAAATGTATCGTATACACATAGAAGTTATTCGGAAACGATATAGCTATAGAGCTATTTGCTTGCTTGCATGAACTGTCGTCGTGATCAAAGTACTGGTTCAGTAAAGCCGCTGTACTAAAAATTGACAAATCCGCTTCGGAAAAAAAATGATAAAATTACTTAAATCTCTCGCTAATTTCAATTCGTTATCTAAACACAATTCTAAAAACATTTTAAATAGTAATTATACAAATTAAGATTTACCAGACTGCATTACCAATCAATATTAATCCTACATCCTAAGCAGTTACGTTTGAAAATAATATATAATCAAACTATACGATTTTGTTCTAGTAGCAAAAGTTTATGTTGTATGTGTCGGCTTCATTGTGCGGAAGAGCTCATGATTGATTCTCATATGACATCAATTAATAAGATTTTGTAGACAAGAAAACACAAATATATATATATATATATATATATATATATATATATATATATATATATATATATATATATATATATATATATATATATATATATATATATATATATATATATATATATATATATATATATATATATATATATATATATATATATATATATATATATATATATATTATGTTTGTTTCTTAAAACCTCCTGCTTTTTAGTAATATCCTGTTCGTGGTTTTTAAATTTCGTCGTACTTTTCACCATTATAAGAGTTATGTGCTAATCATTTTTTAACCAGTTAGCATAGATTCGATCAGAGCTCTACCAAGCTAAAGACGACATATCTACCAAACACAGTTTTCTGGTGGGAATGCAAAATTTACTAGACTAACACCAGCAACGTAATTATATAGATCGTGTGTAGACTGGGAATCAATTGAACTAAGCTACGGAGCGTATACCTACAACTATAAATACACACATTGTATAGAGAGTGAAATAAATTGACTAGACTATAGACCCCACACCTACAGCTATAAATACACACCTTGTATAGAGAGTGAAATAAATTGACTAGACTATAGACCTCACACCTACAACTATAAATACACACCTTGTATAGAGAGTGCAATAAATTGACTAGACTATAGATCAGTGGATACACACCGTGTATGGAGAGTGAAATAAATTGACGAGACAATAGACCTCACATCTACTGCTATAAATACACACCTTGTATAGACAGTGAAAAAAATGGACTAGACTATACTCACACCAACAGCTATAAATACACACCTTGTATAGATAGTGCAATAAATTGACTAGACTATAAACCTCATACCTGCAGCTATAAATACACACTTTGTATAGACTAGGATATACATTGACAAGATTATACACGATAACATATATCGTAATGCTATAAATACACACATTGTATATAATTATGAATTAATTTAGCTAAACTATGACTAAATACCCCCAGCTATAAATGCACACCATATATAGACTAGGAGGTATGCTAATTAAAAACCTCACACTTACAACTATAAATACACACCGTGTATGGAGAGTGAAATAAATTGACGTGACAATAGACCTCACACCTACAGCTATAAATACACACCTTGTACAGACCGTAAAATAAATTGACTAGACTATAGACCAGTGAATACACACCGTGTTGACACTTTGGGCCAAAAGTTCCAATTTTACAATTGCTAGAGTAACAAGTCCCATTCATGTTGCAGTGATAATCTGGGCATTCACAGTTCAGTAAACAGTTAATACCGTACTTTTGGTTGGGGCACACTGCAATACAGTTTTAATACAATATTTTGTAGCTGGACACACTGTTGTACAGTTTTAACATAATATTTTATAGATGGACACACTGCAATACAATGTTAACATAATATTTTATAGATGGACACTCTGCAATACAATGTTAACATAATATTTTATAGATGGACACACTGCAATACAGTTTTAATACAATATTTTGTAGCTGGACACACTGTTGTACAGTTTTAACATAATATTTTATAGATGGACACACTGCAACACAATGTTAACATAATATTTTATAGATGGATACACTGCAATACAATTTTAACGTAATATTTTATGGATGGACACACTGCAATACAATGTTAACATAATATTTTATAGATGGACACACTGCAATACAATGTTAACATAATATTTTATAGATGGACACACTGCAATACAATGTTAACATAATATTTTATAGATGGACACACTGCAATACAATTTTAACACAATATTTTGTAGCTGGACATAGTATAATAAACCTGTACAAATACATAAAAAAAAAACTATATAGCGCATCCAAAAGATGTAGATTGTTTCTCCCAAAGATTGAGATAGACACAAAAGAATGGAAACGTACTTTGGTATACTTATTTTTCAAAAAATTGCAATTCAAATACTAAATTTATATATTTTCGTCCATGACGTAATACTTGCTCCTTCGCTAATTTTTAGTACACGAAATGTTAAAAATAAATGGTGATCATTATTAAAATTGCAACATGATTATATATATTTTTGTTGTTAAAAACATAATTATTTCACTCTTCAATTATAGATTTTTTTTGTAAACCTGTACATATTAAAAAGACTACTACATTCTATATTTAAAAAAACCAACATATATCTTAATCTTAACAATAAGCAGTTTTACATTTCTTTTTTAAAAATATATTTTATATGATGCCCCATGGTCTCTTAGTGAATGAATTATTACAAAGTTGGAAAAAAAAACTTTTACGAACCATATCGAAAAATAAAATTCTTTTGCTTTGGTTTTAGAAGCTTGAGGTCGAAATCCTGCAATATTTAAATATTTTTTACTACACCTTTTTTATTAAACCTTTCATTACATACAATGACACATACATTTTTTACATATAAATGTATCTTAAACATATATTCCTCGATTTTGTGGGGAAAAAAATCACTTAAAAAAGCCTTTTCATCTGAAAATTGTGCAATTTTTGCCTTGGTTTCAGCCCATACTCTAGATAGTGTCAGCAGTTGCAGTCCACACAAGGTGTCCCCCCCCCTACTTCCGTAGCCACCAACGTCTGATGCAGCATCAATTCATACTCGTACTTGTGTCAACTACCTCACCGTTTAACACGTCATGCAGCAGAGAACACAGAACATGACAACACACACAAAAATGTCAACACACCACAATTGTCACCGAACAATGCATGTCACCACACCACATACAACACCACACAATACATGTTAGCACACCACACATGTTAGCACAACACACATGTTACCACACCACACATGTCACCACACCACAATGTTACCACACCACACATGTTAGCACACCACACATGTTAGCACACCACACATGTCACCACACCACACATGTTACCACACCACACATGTTAGCACACCACACATGTCACCACACCACACATGTTACCACACCACACATGTTAGCACACCACACATTTCACCACACAACAAATATCACCACATCACACATGTCACCACACAACAAATATCACCACACCACACATGTCACCACACCACACATGTCACCACACCACACATGTCACCACACAACAAATATCACCACACCACACATGTTAGCACACCACACATGTCACCACACCACACATGTCACCACACCACACATGTCACCACACCACACATGTCACCACACAACAAATATCACCACATCACACATGTCACCACACCACACATATCACCACACCACACATGTCACCACACCACACAAGTCACCACACCACACATGTCACCACACCACACATGTTAGCACACCACATATGTCACGACACAACAAATATCACCACACCACACATGTCACCACACCACACATGTCACCACACCACACCAACACAACACCCATCAAAATTCTTGTTTATCTAACCTGAAAGACACTGTTAGGCGACAGTCCCGAATTATAGTAGACGAGCGAGCCGTTACTCTTACCAAACACCACACAGCCAAACTTGATGTTTGCCTCTAGCAGTACGTTAATCTTTCCGGCTGGGACCCTGACATTTTTACTGTGGAACCCAACATGATGTGCCAGTTAGAACAAACTGTGAAGGAGGGGGGTGTATGGGAATTAGTGTGCACGACTGAATACCAGAACGTCTCTTGAGCTTGACGCCATAAGAAAATAAAGACTGACTAATCTTAGTATTGACCAGACATATCCCTTTAAATGCTCATGTCAGATGAACTCTACTGTATCTGCTCTTTGGATCCCCATCAGGGCCGGCGCTACCTAAAAGGCGAACTAGGCGGCCGCCTAGGGCGCTGTCCGTAGGGGGGGGGGGCGCCGAAATGGGTTGGAAAAACAAATTGAAAGTTTGAGGGGGGGGGGGTGCAAATCGAAAGTTTGTTCCCGGCCGCCGGGAAGGGTCGCTACGCCTCTGATAATACGGGAGCACGAAAAAAAAAGCGGGGGGGGGGGGGGGCGTTTTTAATAAGTTTTGCCTATGGGTCTAAATAACCTGGCGCCGGCATTGATCCCATGAACGAAATATTTACCTTACTAAAAGCAATATTTGCCCCGTGAAATTTTTATGACATTATTGATTTTTACAAATAGGCCTCCTATAATAATGTACTCATTTTCTTTTAAATCTTCAGGATTAAATGAATTTCTTACTTACTTGTTAAATAAGTATCTTCCTTCACGATAAAACTAATTACTCACTACATTGCTTAAGAATTATCCTCTTAACAATCTTTTCTTTAACAATCTAGTCAGTCAGTTGAAGATAAAACAACTGACTGACTAGATTGTTAAAGAAAAGATTGTTAAAGAAGTATCTTCCATCTTCAAGATAAAACAACTGACTGACTAGATTTTTAAAGAATTATCTTCCATCTTCAAGATAAAACAACTGACTGACTAGATTGTTAAAGAATTATCTTCCATCTTCAAGATAAAACAACTGACTGACTAGATTGTTAAAGAATTATCTCCCATCTTCAAGATAAAACAACTGACTGACTAGATTGTTAAAGAATTATCTCCCATCTTCAAGATAAGACGAATTACTTACTAGCTTGTTAAAGAATTATCTCCCTTCACGGTGAAACAAATTACTTACTAGCTTGTTAAAGAATGATCTCCCTTCACGATGAAACAAATAACTTACTAGCTTGTTAAAGAAACTTGATCCATCTTTAGAATATAACCGGAAGTTATTTCTGGGAATGCGCTGAAATAATGTATTACACCTAATGTTCCTTGTAAACGTCTTGAAACGAAAGGAAACCTGTAATCAAGCATAATTAAATCAGACAGTTTCCTAGTTGTCAAGTCTATGGTATTTCGTTCGTTAGAATTTTTAAAATCTTGTCAATAAATAACATCTAGTTAAGGATCTCATTTTTACTTTCTCGTATATACAAAGTATTGAGAAAGTATTGTAATCGTGCACAAAAATCACTTGAAATTTTAACAATTTTCACCGTATTACACCTCAGTCCTTCATCACATCCGAAGTATAGAGGACTTATTTTAATCGGGCAAAAATTATCAATCCAGATTTATCAAATTAAGAGGTATTATGCGTAATCCAGAATGAAAAACTGGGCTTTGCAATTCTGTCCGTATGTCTGTGTGTCTGTCTGTGTGTGTGTGAGTCCGTGTGTAAACACGATTACTTGAGTACCGTTACAGCTAGGTTGATGAAATTTCATATATAAGTATTTTATCAAAATCGTAGATCCGTATCAACTTTTGTGCGATAACCGGAAGTGGTACTTTTCCTACTTTGAATTTTTCAAAAGCCTATAACTTGAGTACTATTTCAGATAGATATATGAAATTTCACATGTAAGTAAAAGATCTAATTCTCTACCTTCTGTTAAATTTTGAGTAATTTCCGTTGACCGGAAGTAGTAATTTACGCTACTTCCGATTTCTCAAAAAACTAATGTACATTTTTAAAGTACTAATAATATTGCGCGCTATTGTGCACTTTTTTATTTGGCGTTCACTAGTTCACTTGGTGTGCAATTCTTTTGTCTACGAGATTTTATTATATTTTTAAAACTGTAAGTATTTAAAATGGATTAAAAATCATGTCTATAGCCCGAGTTCCCATCCCATGTTATTTTATACAAGAATATTCGAGAAAGTTTTGGGGAGATCACGGTTTATTTTGTTACGATATACTGTGTGAGCAGTGGGTGTGCAAGAAATATGTGTTGTATTTTGTCAACCCCCCCTTATGATTGATTAAATAACAAAGTTCAGTGGACCTAAATTTCATCAACTGTAGGCTTGATTCTAAATTAAAGAGAATTTAGACTTCATTCCAGCACAAATACATGTACTTGTGTACAACCTTCTATTGTTTATAAATAAAATTTAGACAACATGCATAAACAATACAAGGTTTATAAATTTAGATTACATGCATACAAAAATACGAGGTTTATATCGATTAGAATTTAGACTAAATTCATTAACAATACAAGGTTTACAATAAAATTTTGCGAAATAAAAATATGAGGTTTATATCAAACAAAATATAGACAAAATACACTGACACACATACCAAACTTACATCAAATAGAATGTATATAGTATAGGCAAGAAGTGTGCGATACTTACAATACATTTACATATAAGGTTTACATCAAACATATTTCGATGTCATGCATAAATAAATACAATATTTACATCAAATAGAATTTAGACTACATGCATAAACAATACCAGATTTACATCAAATAACATATTTATTCTACATGTGTGAACAATACAAACTTTACAGCAAATATAATAATGATTACATGCGTAAAAAAATATATGGTTTATATCAAACAGAATTCAAACAAAACACACTGACACAAGGCCAGAAAGATGCGATACTTACAATAAATTTAAACTGAATACATTACTCCACGCCGCGTTACTGATATGAGTCAAGCCGCCATACTGTAAGAACAAGAAAGTGGGGGTACTTTCAGATATTTCCACGTATAAATTCTCGTAGTTCTCGCCCTTGATTGCTACCTGCGGGACGATATAGTTTCAAGTAAGATATTGATCTGTAGGAACGAGAACTAAGGATTTTTTTATGTCCAATACCAAGTAAAAAATAATTAATTTAAAACAAGCACAAAAACACATTGAATAATTGCGGTTTTTACAGGACTATTGTAGGCCTTAAATAGTATGTTAAATCTTATATATAAATCTTTGTTTCTCGGAAATGGAAATGGTTAATAAAGGATATCGTTTTAAAATTATGTGTGGTGTAATTTTACTTTCTTTCGGAGGAAAAGTAAAATAACGTGAAATATTTTGAAGCTGTTGGTTCTGAAACCATGAAGTCATATTATTTTTGTTAATATGGTTTAAATTTTGTAAACGATATATTAATTTGTTATTCCCATTATAATTAAATATAAGTTCCACCAATTTTACATTTTTTTATTAGAATACTTTTGACAAATCTTCTAGTTTGAGACTAAAGAAATTAATGATTTTATTAAATATATCATTTACTGATGAATGAGTGAACTATACAAAAAATACATTTTTTTTTTTATCGGCAAAAAAAAAGCGATAACGGAATTATTGAAGTCAAAGAGACTCTTGATGTATTTAATTAAGTAATAAATTGTTTTGGTGATTAATATTTTTAAAATTATGTGGTTGTTTTCTCTGTCGTAGTAGTATCTGTGAAAGTTACCGCTAACCCAACCTAACCCAACCCCCTACTCTACGCGTCTACAAAACACGACTTCAACATGACCCCACCCCCTCCCAATCCAACAAGGACGTCATAAATGAATGTCCCATAGGAACTGGGCGGAAATTCGCGTCATTTGGGTTAA